ATCAGGCAGCATCGTGTGATGCTTTGTAATGAAAACATACTGTATGCAGCATTGGGACACCTTTTGCCCTCTCACTTTTCATTTAAACACATCTTAGTTTTTCTTTTGGCTTATCAGACTTTTTTTCCTCTTCTTTTGATTTGCAGTTTTGTTTTCCTCTTTAATCCATGTAAATAACTTTGCTTTCGAAATGCATGTCAGTGTTTGCATGAATTTTAATGTCAAAGAAAGCCCTTTTTAAAATGGAGTGATTCATTTGCTCTGCATTACATGCAAATTATCATCAGAAGAGAGTAGAAACCAGCACCTGCTGTGTACTGATGTTTGTGTGTTGTAGTAAAGGCAAATAGAGGGAATCTGCATAGACGTAACTTACTCAAATGATCTAATGAATTCATGTAAAAATTTTAGCACGTCCTATTAAAAAAAGGCACCTTAAAGACATAAATCTCTGGTTATTAGCGGTCCACCTCTAATAAACGACCACTTCGCTTGCAGGTTGAAACCTGAAACGAGTGAAGTGTGACAAACTATTCAAGAAAAGCGCGTTTGATGGATTCTGTTGCACTGTTTGATGCAGGTTTTCACATGTTGATCACTCGCAACCATCAACTCACGCTTGTTATTTTAACACACAAACTTCCGCTCAGTCATAGCTTCATGAAAAGGATTTTTCTTCACGAATGTCCGTCTGTCCTTTTATTCTTTGTTCACAGGGATCTTCACAACCCAACAAGTAACCATAACTAAGCCGTGGTTTGCTTTCCTCATCCCTGTTTGCATTATGTCACCATCATTTTGAAGAGCTGTGTTCAAAAATGTTAAAATCTTGACACTTCTTATTATGGATCTAATCTATTGCATGGCAGGAAACAGGATAGAGAATTTATGCTGAAGAATAGAGTCCGTTATACGATGTTGTGCTTTAAGGTGGACAGATGTTTTTATATAACTTGCGGTTATTATAGGAGCCAAAAGACAGCTCAGATGAGTTGATGCTGACTACTATGACAAATTGCAGATATAAAGTTTACCTGTATTTCTTATGTGAGAGTCTATAATTAAAAATGGCCTGATATTCTCTACACAGTGTCCTGTTCTTTTTTTTTTCACAGCAACATAAGAAAGCAATTATTAAATGAGGTGATCCTTAATGAAAAGGCCTGGATAGACACACAGGAGTGTACAGTTACACCAGAGCTCAAGTTAAAGTTAGAAGAACACTTCGAATTTCAACAAAGAACAAAGGATTGAAAAGCTCAGCTGATGTCTGTGTTTCAGTGCTGCTACCTTTATTGGCTCCACTTTTGCTAATTCCTCTGATCTTAAGGGGTGATTTACGTGTACAAAGAAGAGTTGAGACAAATGTTTTATAAAACAAGTAATGAAAAATATATCAAATCAAGAGAAGGGTGCGTGGGTATGCCATGGCACACGATCATTGGAGACATATATATGGCACAACCAAGACCTGGATATCCCTCCAAAACTGATGGGAAAACTGGTCTGGAGGCTGCTGAGAGGCCTACAGCAGCATTAGGGGAGCTGCAGGAATTTCTGGCGAGCAATGGTCGTGTACTAAATGGGCTGTAGTAGCAAGACATGAACCATCCAACCCTGAATACGTTTTGCAACCGTGTACACCAGGTTATTAAAAAGCATGTGGGGCCATGTTGAACTTTGTAGCCATAATTCCTACAGCACTGCACATCACCAGGACATCATGATCACGGTGGCAGCGTTATGCTTTGGGGCTGATTTTCCTCTGCTGGGACTTGTGCTTTAGTCAGGGTGGTAGAAGTTTTAACACAAGAAGACATCTAAAGATAAAGAGCAGTTTTATCTTTTGCTGTAACAAGTTAAAGCAGATAATCAACAAAAAAATGACTTCAACAAAGAAGATTTTCAATACCCCATCCACTCAGAGCCCATACCTGAATCCCACCTGTGTCCTGGAGATGCCCTTTGCAAAGAAAAGTGGGTAAATATTGACCCCGCCCCCTCATTCAAATGCACTTTTGCTATATTTCATATCTCCCCTCATTCTTCTTTTTGCTCTGTTGCACCCATTTTTTTCCATGTTCGTTTGTCACAGAAGACATTTGGACAACAAATCAAGAAAATGATTTTTAAAGGACATCCATGAGGTCAGAGGACACAGCAGACCCTGCCTTATTTACACGTGTAGTTTTCCAACTGTCACAGCTCAAAACCTCTGGGGCAACAAGCATTCTGTAAATACACACATTCTTTATAATACCAGCAGAACAACGTGCACTTCAGCTGATGTTTAATTAAAAAGAATAGAAGGCACATGTGGGTGGGCTTTTTCAAATTTACTGCCTGATGAAAACCGTTAGCAGTCGTGTGCATCTTACGTTCAGTCGTGCTGCCTCTAATATCTGATTTTTTTCTGTACAAGGCTGGATATTTGAGTGGTGTGAAATAAATAAAAGAAACACAAGTACAAAAATCCCTACGGCTACTGTAAAGCATATGGAAAAAGTAATGTAGAGAAAGCCATAAAAAATGGATATAAAAAACGCTCCAACACTGACACACACTGTATTTCTATTTTTTTGCTTTATCTACAGAGATGATGAGTGGCAAATTATTGAATCTATAAAAAAAAAACAAAAACAAAAAAAACACAACAACTACTATGTGCTGTGTTTCCAAACTGGAATTTCTAATTTCACCCTAGTCTGAGCAGCAGAATTCAAAGAACAAAGTCCTCGTGCTATTTAACGCTTACCCAACTCCATATCAATATTTTTTTCAAAGGCTGCACTTTGCATCGTTCTTTTTTCTGCAATCTTGATCCAATAATTCAATTTTTGCAGGTCCTGAGGGACATTAATGCTCACTAGTGAGGAGTGTGGTGCTGCTTTCGTCAGGAATACCTGTTAAAATGAAAGCTTATTTCTGCCACTGGTGGGGAAAAAACCAAAACAAACCCTTCTCATAAGAGTTTCAAGGTTAGCGTTCCAAAATTTCAACTTACTTAGAAGTCTGAGTTGAACTTTTGAGATAATAACTTAAAATTTCACCTGAACCTTCCCACTCAATCGCAAAAAACATCCTCCCGTATGTTGTAATTCTGATGAAATCTGAACTCCTCGTGAAAACAATCCCACGGGAAATATGAAGAAAAGAAAAAAATGACAGCAGTCTGGCATGGCTTAAAATGAAACCGTCTTTATTAAGTAACTTTAATATCAGAAAAATAAAACTCTTAAATTCTCTTTACAGCAAATATATAATATCAGTGCTTTGGCCACAATAACTTAAAAGGCCGTTATAAAATATAGTCTGCTTTTAAACTCCTGACTCAATTTGAAAGAATTTATATGCCATAAGACTCCCCCTACATATACATAACAAAAGTAGTAAAATTAGCAAATACTTTGAACTGTTGGTACAGCTTAACAATATATGTATTTATATAGAGATAATCTAAGATACATTTTAATAGTATACCGTTCTTAATTTGGTGGTGTACAGACATGACAGGCAGCTTGGATCCTTGGCCTTTTTACAGTTGCAGTGTGATGCTTTACATTGGCGGTAAATTATGAAGACATGCTCGTGATGCACATTCCATTTTCCACTAGGTTTAAACGGCAGCTATCAATACTATTATGATCAATACTGTAAACTAATACCTAGACTACAAGCAGACAGCACTGACACTCTCCTGCGTGGAAACATGTCTGTGTTTCCAACTCTTCGTTCACCTAATCACTCAGAAAATTAAAGAAAAAAAAGAAACATTTTTTTTACAAAAATCTTATTGTAAACATTTTAAAGATATATATATTTATGTATATATGAAATGTAACAAAATAAAAATAAGTTCTGTATATTTATCAGTCATTAACAGTAACATTATATAATACATACACAAAAATGTAAATAGATTCATATCGATAAACTGAGGGCCGACAGTGTATTGCATTCCCTCAGAGAGAGAAAGACTAAAAGGAGACCGGCTCATCGTAGAGCTGAGAAAACAACGGGACGGATGGATGACCCAAAGAGGGGGGCAGAAGCGGGACTTGTTTGGTTGCATTTTGTTATGAAAGCCAAGATGATGGATATTAAAAAGAAACGGAGCAAAGCTGTGTAAAAACTCCCAAAATACTGTTTACAGCTGGAATGCTAGAGGGACTGCAATCCAGTGTCCACACACCAGAGAGACAGCACTGACCTAATGTAGTGCGAGCGCAGTCCGAGCTGAACTCGTTCCAGTGCTTCCCCCTTTTAAAAGTGTCCGTGAGCTCATTCAGTCCTGTACTAGTCTAAAGACACAGATATTTAAAGCTACGATTTGACATGAGAAGGTGAGAGGAAAGTCGATAACATGCCTGTCCCGGCCAGTCAATAGTGTGATATGATAATGGGGAAGCTCTGTGCTTAGTAGTGCACAGGACAACAGCAACTGAGCTGGTTAAAGGTGAAGTGTGTACCGTTAAAACATCTCATTAAAGAACTGAAATGTAATAGGAATAAAAAACTAAAATAAACAGACGGATTATTTCTGTCTACAAGTTTAACCCCAAAGTTTGTTTGTTTGAAACCCGAGAAGCTTCACTTATCTAGTGCTTCGTGCTGAGATGAATTTTGCATAGGCCTGGCAGAAGAGACGTGGGATTACAAAAGTGAAGCAACGAGCGGCCTTCATCTCAGTTTTGCATCCCATTGGAATCATTTTCCTGACTTCCTACCGAAAAGCTGTGAAGAGACAGCCACGGGGTGGAGCCGTCCAAACGAGTCGACATTCAAGTGAAAGAGAAGGATATTACTGAGATGTCTACAAAAAGAAAAAAGAAAAGAATCAGTAGCCTGCCTGTACAGTACAGGGATTTGTTCCAGATCACAGCTGTCTTCATAGTTTCAGAAAAATCTCTTTTTTGCTCCCAGGTGTGATTTAAGTAAGAGTAAATACTTTAACAACAGGGAGGAGGAATGTTTCCAAAGGTACAAGCTGTGCATATCTGTTTTTGGCTGAAAAACAGTACTTTGTTTCCATACGAGGTCGTAACGGACATATAAATTAGAAGTAAATAAACTGAGGTGGGGGTGGGGAAATGCGACAACAGAAATGGACAAAATAAGAAAGTTTGGTGCCAAAAAATATGAACGCAACGCTCGATATCAGCTTGGGAAAATAGGAAGCGAAAGAAAGCGTCCTCGTGAGACAAGATTTGTTCCAGCGAGGAGCGTCTTGGGAGACTGAACCTCGACAAATATATTAAGACTTCGGTCTGTCAGCTTGTGTTCTTTTGAGCCCGAAAATCTGGATCTGAAGATAGTGTTGTGAATTAATTACTGGCTTCCCAAAAAAAGGCCACAAGTTTGTTTAAAGATAGAGCAACGCCATGTGTCCGCTGAACCGGTTTACTTCTGTTTACACTCAGAGTGGAATTAGGCACAAGTTTACCGTAAACAGTTTGTAAGTATAAGTGGAAAGCAACGTGGCGATACTGAAGCGGTATCTCGACCCCAAAAGTAATAAAAAAAAGTTACTCACTTGTCGGTGTTATTCTGGGAAAAGAATAAAGAAATGAGGCAACGAGAGATTGCCGTTGGAGTGCGACAACTTTCAAATTGTAGTTAATAAAGTCAAAACACGCCGCGGGTGTGTGTCCGTGTGTGTTACACTGTTATTATATTAGCAGTACTCAAAACCTCTCATTCAAGTCCTACTGAATGTAAACATCCTTTTTAAAGACGCGCAGGTGTGCGCCGGTAGCCTGATGATATTTGCACCAATCATCTGGGAAACATGAATTCTGAAAAGACGATCTACGCTGTATCAGATTTACTGCATTAACTTGGTTTTTTGTTTGTTTGTTTTTAAGTAACAAGAAGAACACTATTTTTCCTTAATAGTGTAGTTATACAGTCACATGTGGAACTCATGGAAACTCATTTGCCTCTACTTTTTTTTTTCTTTTACTTAAAATAAAGGCAAAGGGTCTTGGCCATAATTCAATGTATTTTAACGAAAAAAAAACTTTTGAGATGTAGACAAAAAAGGCCAATAGAATTCAAACTCAATTTAAAACAAATAAAATTATAGGTAGGTACAAAAAAATAACAATAACTAAAGATTTTAAGGACAAAAAAGAAAATATGAATCAAAAAATATATCTATCCCAACCCCACCCTCCCCCCAATGCTACATAGAGGGTTTCGAACCCTCTCGTTGATCAATCAAGGAAGAAGACTTCACAATACCAGGCACGTGAACGGGCTCAGCACCCTAACCTCGGCCCTAAATCAACATCATTCCTTATTCACCTACTCTGCTTCACCAGCTTAAAGGAAGCCAGATGAGAATTACACTTAGACACTGACCTGGGGTCAGTTTTGTATTTCCCTCCCCTACACACACACACACACACACACACACACACGTCATGAACCATAAGTGTTGGGCAGGCTGATCTCTAATCAGTTATAAAGGAAATTAAGGGGAAAAAAAGAGAAGAAGAAGAAAATCACATATTGCGAAGCTGAATGGCCTGGGTGGCTGGGGACAGACACTCAGGGCACACAGCATCTGGACCCTGGCATATCTGGGTGGCACAATTTAGACAGAAGAGGTTATGGCCGCAAGGAACCAAGGCGGCGATCGCCTGGTTATTCATACACTGGACGCACAAATCCTGTCCCCTCCCTGTTGATCCGAGCCCCAGTCGATAGGCGAGCGAGGATTCGGGAGGGGAGGAAGAGGAGGCGGTGCTTTCACTTGAGGAGGAGAAGGCTGAGCTGTAAGAGGGGAACCTGTGGGCGTCGAGAGCCCCGGCCGAGCCAAACGGTCCCCGGTGAACACGCTGGGCCTGAGGATGCTCCAGGGCATCGGTCCCAGAGAAGGTTGGCGAGAGCCGGGGTGTCCCAGGCTGGCTTGTCTGGAGACATCATAGGTGTTGAAGATTAGATAAATGGACACCATCAAAAAGTTTATGTTAAAATTGAGCTATGCAGGCAAATAAGTTAGTGAGAAACAACATATTAACTTAGCTTACCAAGTTTTATATCCACCATCATTTTTTAAGGGATTTCTAATGTTATAACAAAATCCTTATAAATGCACATCTGTGATAAATCACAGTTCTGAGCCTGCAATTTGCATATCAAACTCCCCCTGCACGCTGCTGACCATAAAAAGACTAAAATAAAACTGCACAGGAGGCCATAAAACTGCAGCTGTTAAATTTCTCTTACCTGAGACTGAAGAGCATCAAAGGCCTGGAGGGGCTGGTGGTCCACAAAGGGGCTCCAGATGTGTGGCTGTGCAGTAGGGTGTGACGAATGGGCAGTGGAAATGGTTAATGGGTCAAATCCTGAGGAGGAGCCTCCACCTCCCAGCCCAACCAGCTCCTCAGACCCCACGGGAAGAAGGCCCTCGCCAAACCAGAAACTTGCACTGCCGCCATTGCTGTTGTTGTTAGCGTTGGCATTAAACGGGCCGGTCGGGCTGACATCTGCCAGTCGGTTGACGTTCCCGCTGCTATAAAAAGAATCGGCTGAGCTGGTGCCGCTGCCCAGGGAGCTGGAGCTGTCGTTGCGGTAGTTGGAAGACATCCTGGCGCCATTGTTGATATTGCTATTGACTCGCTGAGTACCGCTGATGTTTAGTGGCAGCAAGCCACCGCCGCCTGGTGATGATGCAACTGCCTGAAGCCATCCGGCCTCTCCCAAAACAGCCGATGTCTCGAAGCTGACATCTGTCCCGTTGAACTGAAAGTCATTGTTGTCTACACCTGGAGCCTCGATGCCCCCGCAGGTTCCGGTGCGGAGGGCGATATGGGCCTCTATCTCCTCCCTTGCCCGGTCCACGTTTTCCGGCATGCCCGTAACCTCAAACACTGGCTCTTTGTCCCGGCTCGGCGTCACAATGTAGGTGTGGGTCTGCTGCTGAATGCGTTTTATGGTTGCTCCTGAAAGATATGACCAGACCAGCTCTTTCACTCAAAACATGAGAGACACATGTTGAATACAAAGACTCAATCAACGTTCTGCTCACTTTGCAACATGACTGTCGGTTATAGTTTGAAGTGGATATAATATGTTCATTTTCACATTTTCAAGAGTCTGAATATGAAGTGGGCGGGGCTTAGGTCCTCATAGTCAGAGCAGTAAAATTGCTGTATTGGGGATATACCCCTCCCCCCTTTGACGTCACACAGATACAAGAGTAGAAAAAAAGTGCTTGAACAAAAGTGTCACCTAACCTTAACCTCATGATCAGAAACTTTGTCCATGTTTAATATGAGCAGCCACCAATGTAAAGCAAACAAATCGCACATGGACGCTTAATTTTTAGTAGCTGGTGGTACAAATCTCATAAATCAAATAATAGTCCATCAAAATCTCAGACTGCATCACTAACAGCTCTGTGTACTTGTTTGTCTTTTAACAACTGCAGCTTGACAATCTGACAAAATAGGCCAAGCTGAGTCACACAGAAACTGCAGTCACAGCTAAATACTCAAGATTTTAATCACAACGACAGTATTGTGCATTTACGGCAGTTACACTTGTTTCTTGGTTGTTGTTTTTTTATAGATTTTTTTTTTTTGGACAGGACAGGAGAGAAGCTTGGAGAAAGACATAACTCAAAAGCGGGCCTCAGCATTAACCTTATAGCATATGCATCACCGTTGCTCAACCCAGTGAGTCAAACCAGCGCCCCGCACTCAGATCTATTTAATCATTGTGTGTGTTGCTTTGAAAATGGAAACAGCACAGCTGTGCAGTAATTACAGTGCTCAACTACAGGCTGGCCTACTGACTCATCTGGCTGAAATCCACACCACCTGACCAAAACACTGAATTCAGATCCAGTGTGGAAACCTTATCAAATGTCAATACTGTGTTTTTAACCGAGAACAATATCCTAGAGTGCATTTTGATGCTTGTAAATACTCCACAGCACACCTCTCGACTCTGTGTTTGTGTGACGCAGTGTTTCATCCTAAATTTTCAACTCCAGTGACTTTTTTTGACACGTCACTACTTCCTCTACAGGTATTATCGCAAGTTTGGTTGGTTTAACAAACAAAAAAACAGCCCATGCTATTTGACACACAGCTGGTAATGTCAACAGGGCAAAGAGTTAAAGACAGTGAGCAAATCATAATCAGCCTCAGGGCTTTTTCCACACACAGGTGCTAATGTGTACAAAGACTAGCTGAGAGCGACAGGGAATCTTCTGGACTTGAGCTGATGGATATCAAGATGCAGAGGCTTTTAGAAACACAGGATATCCATTAGACAACACAGAAACAGAAAGCTGTTAGATGTGGGGCCTGATAGCAGAGCTACACAACTGAACAGTCCCATAGTGTCTTGCCTATATCATCCAAAAAACACTTTTAGTCTGCATCTGCTAACATGAAATTTGTTTTTCTGACTCTTTTTGTCCTAAATTGTATGTTTCACACCTTTCCTGTCATCTATGCTAAAACAACATATAATTAAGCTAAAGGGCAATTCTGATTTTTGTTTTAGAGACTTTCTTTAAAACTATGACTTTCAGCAGTTACATACATGCAAACAATACAAATTAAATACCCACCTTTAGGACCCACAACCAACCCAACAACACGATATGGTACCCGCACCTGTACAGTTAAAACGATAAAGGTTAGCTATACACACTTTAAAATACAAAACACAACAGAGAGCCTTATTTATACAATAATTTTGCCTAGATACTGACACTAATAACACCGAGTCATCCTAACGGTTGTTCTCAACCCCTGAATGACTTCTTTTTTTTTTTCTTTTTTTTTCTCATTTAAAGTCAAGTTTGCTGACCTGAATTGTAGTCCGTCCAGGTAAAGCCGGAGTCCCGAGGCTGGCTCCTGCAGTAAGAGGGCCCGTCCTGTTCCGAGAGGCTCTGATAAGGGAAAAGTGCTCAGCCGCAGACATGATCTCCCTTTTAGCCATGGCCACATCTTCTTTACGCCCCGTCACAACAAAGACTGGCTGTTCCCCCCTCACTGGTGTCTTAATGTAGGTGTTGGTCTTGGCTCGAAGTGCCTTGATCTTACAGCCTGTCACATGGGCAAGTTAAAAAAAACACATAAGGGAACCACATTAACCTCCACAGATTCAACATTGAACTCTTGAAACTCTGCATCTCCTAATAAACTAATGAACTAATAAAAGATCATGACACAAGCACTACAGCACAGGTCTCCAGTCATTAATGCCACATAAAAGTTGCATAGCTTATAAATTAAATATTCCATTCAGCAGTGGTTGAGAGTCCAGCATCATTACCAGAGCCATTTCCTGTTGTTGTCAACACCGCAGTCTGTGCACCATCCCCCAACTTACTCTCAAACATAATCACACTGCCCCACTAACCGAGTCCAGCCATCTATGTAAAGTTTAGATAAAACAAAGACCACATATAAGGGTCTAAGAACAGCGAGGGGATGTTTAGCTGAAATCATATCGGTTATGTCACGGAGCTAACTATAACCTGCAGCTGATGTGGCAAAAGAATGGTGCCCTCTCCTCCGAGACAAAGCCCAGGCTGGTTTAGCTCAGCAAAACACGGCTACGGGGAGGCTCACTGACAGCATACCCGTGATATAGGCGAGCTACTGCACCGAGGCCACAGAGTGGGTTCCGGAGACCAATAAAACTTTAGCTGTAAACTTTTTTCAGGGTGTTGGGCGAGGGTGTTATTGTTGACCCAGTTTGAAGGGGGAGGAATGCTAAGCTAGTAGCTGACTATGCCACTTTTCTTCGCGACGATTTTTTTTTAAAGCTATAACTTAGTTTTATCTCGTTGCTTTTCTGTTCCACGCCTTTAATTAATTAGAAGATAAACTCGCGATTCTTCAAGTTTCTTTATTTTGTCCCTTAATTCGGTCCTGCCTAACTCTCCCCACAAAGTTTAGTCTAAACTCCGTTAGCACCTTAACGTTAGCTCCACAAGCAGTCAAAAAGAAAGCGACTCACCCTGCCTGCCAACGATCTCCGCGACGTGCTCCGAGCTCGGCACGGCCACACACTCGGTCGTGTTTACGCTCTTACGCCGGTTCAACAGTGATGTCTCGGCCTCTCCGTAATCCGGCTCCCCGAACCCGCCGGACGGTAGCATCGTCATGCTGTTAGCCGGCGGGAGAGCGCCGCCGACCGCAGGATCGTCCCGCTCGTCTCCGTTGTATAGCAACACAGTCTCGATGTGCTCCATCCCGGAGCTAGCCGGCCCAGAAAGTAGGTGTTGGTTGCGGTGGTGGGCCTGCGTTAGCAACGAGGAATCGGTTGCAACTAATGGCTCCTCCTCGTCCTCAGCCGCTGCCGTTTTGTTAATTTCGTCTCCCGAGGGCGGACGAGGCAGTGGCAAGGGCTTCAAGTCGAGGACCGTACCGAGGAGGCTGAAATGGGAGACCGAGGAGAGCGGGAGGTGGTGAAAGGGGAGGCTCTCGTCAGCTAGTTCGGGCGTCTGGCTATGAGCGCCGTGCTGCTCGTCAAGGCCCATACCGGCGAAAGCGTGCAGGAGCGGCGGTGGGACCTCGGACTCTCCCTCATCGGCCTCCAGCAAAGACGTACTACTCGGCATGATGCAAGCCTTTTATTGATATTGCCGGTAATCGTTATGAATAATGAATGAAATTTGTTTGATTACAAAAAATAAAAATAAAAAAGCGACCAGCGCCTGTTCGTTGAAATGTGTGGCTTTGTTTTGTCTTTACGGCGCTCCTCTTCTCTTCTTTATTGAGGCGCATTTACAGCTGGCTTTCGATTATTTGGCGCATTACTGCCCCAAGTGGTATGGAGTGAGCGTCGAGCCAATCATTTCAACGTTCAGAAAAGGCGGCGGGGGGTGGGGGGCGTGAAGGTGAAAGACGCAAAGCTGTTCCAAAGTTGAATATTTTAATGATGTTCCAGTGTGTCTGATGAAAAAGTCATTCCTTTCTCCACACCTACTTTCTCCCACTTTCGTTTAATTAAACTCTAGTCTTTCCTCTTAACCTTTGACTGTTTTTGATACCTTTCATTCGACACCTGCTTCATAATGCATTTGCTTTATTTCCTGCTTAACCATAACCCAACCATAAAATCCATCTAACTGATTTCTGTGGCTTGTTTTGCTTTCACTGCATACACACTGCATGTTCATGTGAAGCTTGTTTTCAGGGTGAGATGCAATTTCACAACTATCAGGAAGATGCACTCAACGTACATTATGAGGGGCGTTGTGTCATGGGAATATTAAAATGATACAACATCTGTGGGTGTTGGCATGGTCTACACCCCAAAAGTATTAAATGAGTACATGAATATTAGATGTGAGAGAAAGACATTGTGGTGTTTTCAGTGTGCGTTTTGTTGGCATAAAGATTGAGAGATAAATATAAATGCTTATAGGGATGGGATGTAAATGTATAATGAAGGCATGGAGAGTTTTTATTTGCAAGGCAAGAGGATCGATGTAAGTCTGGCTCCTTGCCATCTATAACATCTCTAAGTGGAAAAGTGCAAGGGTTTGAAGACAGCTGTCCTGAACATTTAAAAGGTAAGCCTGCTATGAATAGAATGATATAGTTTTGTTTTTGTTTTTCATTCTTACAATTCACGACAGAAATGCTAATATGTACTCAAGAGCAATATTTCTTTTTCATGATTTCAGGGGTTACTTTGCAATGTTCAATTCCAGCAAAAATGTTTTAAAAACAATTTTTTCTATATATTTGTTTTAAACACACAGGGAAAATAGATCATTATCTGGCACGATAACCTTTAAAATCAAGTCTACTACATATTGTGAATGAAAACTATCCACTAATATTTAAGTCAGTCATTCATTTTACACCATACAGAAAGGACCCAAAGTAGTTTGCAAAAGTGGTCTAAACCCATAATGCAACTGAGAAAATGAGCCAAAATGTTTTTCTAGTAATAAATGAAATCAAAATTTTCCTTTCAACAACCAAATATACTTCTTCACACATTCATCCACATACAGGTACATTTTAAAGATTATTTCACCCCCTTACTCCTTATATATTGTGTCATTATATAAAAATAAATGAATATAAAACTTAAGGCACAGTGTAATAACAAAAAAGACAAAATGAAATAAACAAACAAGACAAATCAAACAAACAAAAAAACATGTTTTGTTGCCAGAGTGTGACGCTGTCATAGGGGTTAAATATCCCAAATGTGTTACGAAACATTTAATGTGTCTAATGAAATTTGGTTATAAGTAACATAAATGTAACCACCATGCTATACCGATAGGGCTTAAGCAGCATTTCTACTCCATTCAAACTGCCTTCACTTTCATTTTAACCGGCGGCCACGTTGGAGCCCTGGATTCAGGTAATAAAAGGGAAGCTACGCTTTGCTCACACTTACGTGGTTGTGGCCCACGTGATGTTACAATGGCTCCTCCTTTTATGTTTTTCCACCAGTGAGAGCAAGCAAAGGCGGGCTTTTACGGATGACGGCCAATGAGATGTGTCGTTAGTAATACGCGTCTTAGCATTAGTTGCATCCGGGTGAGGACTGGGGTGAGTAGGTAATTCTAAGTAAAACATAATCTAAAATCGTAAATATTTGGATTTATTTTAACTCCTGTTACTACTTATATCCTAATAAAACAACAACACAGCAACCATTGAAACATATTACAAATCCCGAGCTTCTTTCTTTCTCTAAAATATAAAGACCAGCTAGCTCGCTAGTTAGCTTTAAGCTAGCAGCTAGCCGCTTATATCAGTGTCCGGGTTTTCCTTGTCGGTATTTTCGCCACCTTCGGTGACGGTTTTAGTTTTAAATCTGTTGTTTTTACAGTTTTTTTCTTAGAAGCTGTCGGCTCTCAGTCTTCAGGATGCACGGATCGCTTCGGGTGTTGCTTCAGGTGCTCTGGGCCCAGCTGCTTTGTGGGTGGGTGCTCGGCTCCGAGCTAACTTTTGAGCTGCCAGACAACGCTAAACAGTGTTTCTACGAAGACATCATCATGGGCACCAAATGCACCCTGGAGTTCCAGGTGCGTGTCTGTTCTTTCGATCCCTCCCATCCATGCGAATCATCCTTGTCGTTTTTTCCCCCAAATTAAATCGAGTATAGATTGTCCTCTTGAAATCTGTATCAGGCGTCAAAGATGAAAACCCAGGGACATGAACAGCTTCATGTGCATGTCTGATAAACACTAGAAATGTAAACCAACTTAGTTACTGTACTTCCACCTGAAAGATCTTCAGGTAAATATTTAAATTTAATAAGAGGTGTCCAGGTAGCAGCAGGCCGAGTTATAAGTAATAAATACTATTAAATGATCTTATTCATTATCTGTGACGTGTGCCTTAAACATTTCACTAGAACTACACACACACACACACACACACACACACACACACACACACACACACACACACACATACAGGGTGTATAACAAACACAAGAAGTGGCTGATATTGAAAGATTCTACCAATGGTTAAAGTTTGACAGGGTAGACAGCACAGAAACACTACTCATGGTAGCAAAAGATCCTTAGAGATCGAGGTCTATCATACAGGCTGTGCAAAGATACCCCAGAGATAATCCAGCACATAACAGCAGAGTGCAAGATGCTAGCAGGCAGGGCATACATTGAACACCATAACCAAGTGTGTGGCATCGTATACAGGAACATCTGTGACAAGTATGGTCTGGAAATCCGGAGGTCAAAATGGGATACACCCCAAAGGTGATTGAGAGTAACCCAAGCTAACATCCATTTAGACCTCCAGATGCAGACAAACAAACTGGTGATGGTTAACCAATCAAATATAATGTCCACATGGTGGACCATCAGAGGAAGAAGGCCACGGTGATGGATGTAGCTATACCAAGTGAATCAAGAAGAAGGAATACAAGAAGCTTGAGAAATACCAAGGGCTGACGAGCCCACAGGTCGAGTGGGGAATTATTGTACAAGTATGCATTAGGAGCATAGTGTTGTGTAATTTTTAAAGTGCAATAATCACATACTGGTGCCTCAAGTGTATTTGCCAAAAAAGAGAAAAAGTGCAATAAATGAAGATTAATCTGGGTGATTGTTTTTATTTTTAATTGTGTGCATAATTAGCCTGTAATAACAATCTGATGATATATAACTTTTCACTGTCCACTTTCTGCTGTAACAAAACAAATTTCCCACGTGTGGGACTAATAAAGGTTGTCTTATCTTATGTTGGGGCAGTTGTTTTAAACTCTGTTTCTACACTGTGTTCAGATTAATTTGCACTGACACTGAAAACGTGTAGGACTCAGACATGAAATTGATAAAGAATCTGACCTGTAAGCAAAAACGCTATCCATATATATTTTTAAAAACACTTTGTCAGTATCCATTCTACCCCTCCTTGGCTTTGTTACTCATTCCTTCTGTGCTTTCGATTCCCAGGTGGTGACCGGTGGTCATTATGATGTGGACTGCCGTTTGGAGGACCCAGATGGCACAACACTCTATAAGGAGATGAAGAAGCAATATGACAGCTTTACCTTCACAGCAGCCAAGAATGGCACCTACAAATTCTGCTTCAGCAATGAGTTCTCCACCTTCACCCATAAGACAGTTTACTTTGACTTCCAGGTTGGCGATGACCCTCCACTTTTCCCCAACGAGAACAGAGTCACTGCTCTTACTCAGGTAAACTGTGAGGATGCACACATAAACCTGTTAACTGCCTGTTTCTCTCACTGATGTTTCCTTCATTGTATTTGTTAGGGCGAAATAACCTAAACGGTTACCCTGTCTTCATCCTGGTTGCACAAATGAACCAACACAGTTTCTTTAAATTAAAAGCAAATAAATCCTGGTGATAAATAACCCCCAAAAAGCAGAGCAGCCACCTTGCAGAGTTTGTTTATTTTATTCAGATAGAAAGGGTCACCAGACAAGCTTTATCTGTAAATGAAATCTCAGTACTGTGGCTACTCTCACAAGATAATATCAACTAAAAGAAGGCTGAAATTTGATGATGTAGCAAGACAGTGATCCTAACCAGTGATCTACCAAAGAACGATTTTAAACAAACAAAAAAAAGACGTTTGGAGAGACCCAGACAAACCTAGAAAATGACCGTTTGAACTTTGTGCAATTACTTCAGGGAAGCTGATTACATCCTAAAAATATGGCTGAGCTGGAGTCATTCTTTTTAGAATAATGGGGGGAAAATTCCTGCTAAATGTTGCAGATGTTAGTCCCCTCCTTCTGGAAATGTCTGACCTTATCACCTTTTTGTGTTTCATTAGATTAAGTAAATGATGGTTGTCATTTATCAGGCACAAAACTAAAGGCAGAAAAAGACAGCAAGATGTGGGATGTTCAAATACTGAAATATATGTCTGTTCAGACAGACTAGAAAAAGCACAAAATATCATCTGCCTACTGTAATATTAGCTAAGGAAATATAATTAAAAAGCACTGCCAAAACCACTGTTGCCAAAAGAATACCAATGATATAAATACAAGAACCACTCCTCCCTTAAGTGACAGACTCATATTTGTCAGCCGTGCAGATTTAATGTTCCTGGTGGATGAATTTAGTAAATATTTTCAGCCATCTTCCAAAAATCTAAAATCAGTTTTGTTTTCCAATCTTCACCATTTACAGATGGAGTCAGCCTGCGTGTCCATCCATGAGGCTCTGAAGTCGGTGATCGACTATCAGACACACTTTCGCCTCCGTGAGGCCCAGGGACGCAGTCGCGCCGAGGACCTCAATACCCGCGT